ACTTCAACTGTAGATCTCTTTTCTATGAATAAGGATAACACATTATTATTTTTAATTGAGTTTATTGGTACATTTTAGGTATACAGTACAGTTATGTTCATTATTGGGCTCTTGTACCTTTACATGACAGGGCTTGGTTCCCATTTTTTCCCCTTGTCCTTGCCCTCCCTTCACCCCCACCACCCCTCCCCGTTTACAAACACTTTATTTCCATTTTTTCATTTTCTTATATTTTTTTTCCTTTCCCTATTACCTTTACCCTACCCTTTCCACCTTCCCTACACCTTTAGCCCTTTTCTTCCTATTTCACATAGTCAATTATCTCATTACAATCTTATGTACTATTATAGTTTTTCACACCAGAAAAACTATTCAGTATTTACACATGTGACTTATTTATTTCATGTAGGAGTGTATCCTCAATATGTAAACATTTTCCTATGAGTGAATCTAATTTCTCATTCTTTATGGCTGAATAGTATTCCATTTTACAGAAAAACCACATCTTTATCCAGCTTCCAATGGATGGGCAAATGGGCTGTTTCCAAGTTTTAGCTATTACAAACTGTGCTGCTATAAACATGGGTGCACAAATATCACTGTGGTATGATTCTTTTAATTCTTTTGGAAAGATACCCAGCAGAGGGATGGCTGGATCAAATGGAACCTCTAGTCCCAGCTCTTTGAGGTATCTCCATATTGATTTCCATAGTGGTCACACCAGTCTGCACTCCCACCAACAATGGAGAAGGGTTCCTTTCTCCCCACAACCCTGCCAACATTTGTTATTGTGTGATTTCTTGATAGCAGCCATTCTTTGTGGGGGAGGTGGAATCTCAGTGTTGTTTTCATCAGCATCTCTCGAGTAACCAGTGATGTGGAACATTTTTTCCTTTACTTCTTTGTCTGAGAAATGTATGTTCATTTCAGATGCCCATTTTTGAACTGGGTCTTTATATTTGGGGGGCTGATTGTTTTGAGTTCATTATTGGTTGTTAGGGCATATCGATATTCAGTTTTAATTGGCATTAGTGAAAATCAGAAGACATCATAAAAGGCATTTTTTAAAAAAATCAGTTTACTAAAATAGCAGAAAATTATCTAATTATGGAGAAAAATTTTAGCATGCCAGTGAGACATACAGAATCCCACATAGCTGCCATCAGAAAAGAACCGCTCCACAACACTCATAAATAAAATCCCAGAAGTCCAAAGCAAGAACTAAATCTTAAAGGCTGTTAGACAATAGTATTGAATCACTTTTAAAGGTAAACCTATTAGAATTACAGCGACCTCCTCGATACAAATGTTAAAAGGCCAGGAGAGCTTGGAGTTAAGTGACTCAAACCATAAAAGAAAACAACTTCTTATCTACCTTAAAGTTAAGTGATTCAAACCATAAAAGAAAATAATTTCTAGTCCAGACTGATTTATCTTGCAAAGCTATCCTTCAAAATTGATAGAGAAATAGGGTATTTCCTTGATAAAGAGCACCTAAAGAAATTCATGACCACTGAGCCACCACTGCAAAAATTTCTTGAGGACTTCCTATAAAGAGACAATGAAGCTAACAGTGCCAAAATGTCCAATAGAATGAATATACAGTGAACAATTAAGTAGAAGGGAAAGACAGGATAAGAGGAATGGGAAAATATTTCATTGACAGAAATAAGTCCATACCTTTTAGTGATACCTCTCAGTGTGAATGGTGACAATTCCCCATTCGAAAAACGGATTGGCAGAATGGATCAAGAAAAAAAGATCTAACAGTAAGCTGTGTACAAGAAATACATTTAACCTCTCAAAAATTTGTAGACTAAAAATCAAAGGATAGAAAATAATATTCCATGCAATGAGAACCTGAAAGAATGCAGGTACATAAATCCCATTTTTCAGACAAAGTAGACATAAAGCCAGAACTGATCAGAAGATGCAAAGAAAGTCACTGCATATTGGTTAAGAGAACAATCCAACAGGAATAAATAACAATTATTAATATGTATGGACTGAACAACAGTACAGCCAACTTGATAAAGCCATTTATAATAAGCCTTCTGCCAACATAATATTATGTGGGGGGAAACTAAAAACTTTCCAAGTTCCTGATAAAAAAATCAGGAATATGACAAGGATGTCCACTATTACCACTTCTGTCCAACATGGTACCAAAACATTAGCCAGTGCAATCAGGCAAGAAAAAGAAATAAAAGGGACACACACACACATATATACATATATATAAATGAAATCAAATTATCATTTGTAGATGGCATGAGCCTCTACATTGAAGATTTTTTAGATTCCATCAAGAGACTCCTAGAATTAATAACTAAATTCAGCAGTGTAGGAGGATACAAATCAACAAACAAAACTTAATGGGATTCCTATACACCAATAATTAACTCACTGAGAAAGAAATTTGGGGAAAAAAATCTGTTTATAATAGCATCAAGAAAAATTAAATACTTAGGAATTATACTAAACACACAAAAGAAAGACCTTCACAATGAAAACTAAGTATTCTGAAAAAAAGGAGATTGAAGAGAACATCAGAAAATGTAAAGATTTCCCCTGTTCCTGGACAGGTGGAACCAATATAATCAAAAGGCTATATTTCCAAAACTGGTATACAGATGTATGTCATTCATTCTCAACCAAAATACCAACAGTATTCTTTATGGACTAAACAATCCTAAAATTCATATGGAACCAGAAGAGACCAAGAAGAGCCAAAGCAATACTGGGTAACAACAGCAAAGGAGGAGGTATAACAATCCCATGTTTAAGGTTATATTGCACGCTACATTGATAAAAATGGCCAAATTTGGCAGACATGGCCATCAACAGATGAAACTATGAAGGGATAAAGACAATGTCATAGTTATATGCAGTAGAGAACTACTCTGCTAAAGAAATCTAAACTTTAATCATTTGTAAGGAGATGAATGTAGTTTGAGATCATAATTTTAATGGTATTAGCACAGCAACAGACATGTGGATCAATGGAACAGAATAGAGGATGCAGAAAAACCCAGGCACATTCAGCTATTTGATCTTGGACAAAGGGTTAAAAACCTACACTGGAGGAAGAGCAGCCTCTTTAATACATGGTGTTGGGGAAAGTGATTATCTGCATGCAGAAGACTGAGTCTAGACCTTCTTAATTCACCATGTACTAAACCAAAATTGGAACAGACCAAAGATCTAAATGTTAAAATAGAAACACTTAGTGTGCTACAAAAAAATAGATAAAATTCTTGAAGATAGAATTGGGTAAGGACTTTCTGAATATAACCCAATGACACAAGTAGTAGTATCAAAATTAAACAAACGGAATCATATCAAATTAAAAAGCTTATTCACAGAAAAGGAAACAGTCAACAGAATAAAGAGACAATCTACAGAATGGGTAAAAACTATACCAGCTATTCCTCAGACAGAGGACTACCATCTACAATGTATAAAGATTTTTTTTTTTGTACTGGGGATTGAACTCAGGCCCTTAGCACTGGTAAGGCAGGTGGCAGAACCACTGAGCTAAATCCCCAGCCCAAATATATAAAGAATTTTTAAAACAGGTTCTTCAAACTAAAAGACTCAGTAAAAAAATGGGTAACCAAAATGAATGGACAGTTCTCAAAAAGAGAAGTACAAATAGTCAAATATAGGAAAACATTTTCATCAGAACTGGTCATTAGAAAGAGGCAAATTAAAACAATGCTGAGATTTCATTTTAGCTAGAAAGAATGGCTATCATCAAGAAATCAAGTAACGAATGCTAGTGAGGCTGAAGGAAAAAGTGAACCCTTCTATATTGTTGCCAGGAATGTAAACTGTTACAACCACTATGGAAATCAGTATGGAGATTCATCAAAAAACTGAAACTATAAATCCCACTTCATTCCATTATTCCCCTTCTGGTATTTCCTTAAAAAGTTAAAATCATATTACAGTGATACATCTGTATCCATGTTTACAGCCACACGCTTCATAACAGCTAAATCTTAGAAGCTACCTATCACCCATAAACAGATAAATCAAGAAAATGTGATATCGGTATACCATGGAGTACTACTCTGCCATAAAGAATAAACAAGTTATTTGTAGGAAAACATTCATCTGAAGACCACGGTGCTAAGTGAAGTAAATCAAACACACACATTTAAATACTGCATGGTTTTTCTTATATGAGAAACCAAAGATATAAATAAAGAGCAAAGTAAAATAGGAAACAGGCAGAGAGATTTTTTTTCCCCTATTGGAAGGAGATCAAGAGACGATAGGAAGGGAGAAGGAGGGAAAGGAAAGAGGATGAAAAACTAGAGATTGGGGCATGTTTTGCACTGTCCCACAAGGAATGTAATTATTATGTAATGCAAATATGTACTATTAAAAAGTCAAAACTGAGAAAAGGCAGATGGACCTATCCTAAAATGAAGTATTAGTGATATTAAGCAAAAGAGCAGTTAAACAGAACATAAAGGATCAAAAAGGAAAACGAATATTCTTTTTCCTCCTCAAAAAAAGTGAGAGCATGAGAACTTTGTTCATCTTTATTCCATTTAAGTCCAGCAACCACACCAATGACAAGAGAGGCTAGAACTCAGTACAACACCTTAACAGGTCATTCCCAGGTTACCAGAGGGAACCACGTATTTCTCCTCCAACAAAGAGAAAACAAAGACTATTTGTAGTATGTATTCCCAAGATGTCAAATCCTTGAGTTTTCGTGTAGAGTTGAATTTGTAGAAGTGTTAATGTCCACTTAAGTCCATATGCTCAGGTTGGTTTGACTGCCATTGACTTAATTACAGGAAGCCATTTATTTTAGCTTAAAGGAAAAACATTTATTCAAACTAGCTCTAAGGATAGGGAGGGGCTCATCACCCAAATCACCACCTCATCCTATACAAGTGTGCTGGGACCTCTTGTAGCCAAAATTGGGTGGGGGATGAGCTGATACACATGTCAGACTTCTTTCACTGCTTCTGGATTCAGACCTCTCCCTTGCCTTCTGTAGAATGAAATTAGACTTTCACCTCCTGGTGCCAAGACCTGCAAATTCTTCCAATTATCTGGAAAGATGAGAGGTGGGATGGTAGTTTATTCCCTAGTTCTGAAGAAGTTTAGAGAAGAAAAAAACTATTTTAAAGCTCCACTTTGTGGAGCAGGCTATAGGAGGTTGCATGGCACTTTGGTAAAAGCTTTACTTGGACTTCTTTAACAGCAGGAAATATGGTAGTTTGGGGTGGAAGGGCAGGGACTCCACCCTACAGTGGTTACAAATGAAGTCACAGTCACCCCAGCATCTTCACCAGCTGAACCACGAGTTTCATGAAATGTGACATGGCCTCCAATACCATGGGTTCCTGATGAGCTCAGCCTCAGTCCTCAGGTTGGTGAGGAGTCAGAACCAAAAACCCAGAGTCCCAAACGAAAATTCTAGGTTAAGGGGCATGGCCCAGCCAGCAGATTATTCCACGTGGAGCAAGACCTAGATGAGTATCATTCCCCTTAAATTGTAGTAAGTGTGGAAGTTAGAATGTATGCCAAGCAAAGAGCTTAAGATAGGAATCAGCTCTTAAGCCAAAGAAGAATCTAAAAGACCCAAAACCTATGAATTTTAAAGAAAAAAGGGACACCTAATCACACCACCAGAGATCAAAGTATCAAGGAGATAAACAAGGAACAGTGAGCACAGGATAAGTTGAAAGAGATCATCAGCAATTACCAGGAGCAGACCTTTTTATTGAACCAAGTTTGTGCCTGCAAAGGCATTGTGGATAGGATGGGCAGCTGTGCTCAGACCAGGGATAAGTCAGCAGACAGGGAAAACATGGGAAGAGTAAAATCTACATAAAGCACATGTATGATCAGCTAGGCCATCTGAGGCATGCCAAACATGGCAGTTTACAATATAATCATTTTAAAAATTGACTACAGTTGGGCTTGGTGGCACGTGCCAATATTCTCAGCATTCTGAGTTGCTGAGACTGAAGGATTACAATTTTGACCCAGTCTGGACAACTTAGGAAGGCCTGATCTCAAAATAATTTTTAAAAGGTGCTACCTTAGTACATGTAGCTCAGTGCAAAATCCCCAGTATTAATAAACACACACACACACACACACACACACACACACACACGCATACATGCACACATGCATGCACACAGCCACTCAAGCCATGATCTGCCCTATGATCCACAAGGAGCTCCTAGATACAGCAAAGTCAAAAGGGAACAAAAAGAGTTTCAACATTTACTTTCCCAAATGCCTCATCCTAGGAATCAATGATCAGATTTGGAGTGGGAGAGCAAATTCCCCTGGAAAGGTGAGTGCAGTGACTATAGTTTATTGCCAGAGAAGATGAACACAGAAATGAGTGAAATTTGACTGGAAATACTTTGGAAATTAAAAAACGCAGGCTCGCACTGGGGGGGGGGGCGGAATAGGTGAAATGTTTTGGAATCATCGAGCAGCCAGGTGGGTAGTAAGGCAGTTTACAGGGATTTTCATGTCAGAGAGTAGTTTTTCAAGGTCAATATAAGTAACTCAGGCAGTGGAAGAAGGCAGGATTAAAAGGTCCCAATGTTCTCTTCACTGGCTCTTGAGACAGATAAATACCTTCAGAGCAGTGTTGGGCAGTTTAAGTATTTCTGGTCCCCACAGATGTAGATTGGACCGATTGCAGAACAGATATTACTCAAAGGCAAAAATCTCATCAGAGAGAAACTCAAAGCGATGATATAATTCTATTGGGCACTCAGGAGAAAAATAATGGTAATCTTATTTTTCCTTTTGGGCAGGTTTGATTCTCCAAAGCTATCACCCTGCGCAATGAGTAAATTCATGACTATCGCCATGGGACCTGAAGCTGAGTACCAGATAGCACAGTTACAGTGAGTCAAGAATTATGTGCTATGCAAGAAAGGTGAAGTTGAAGGCTACTAATGTAACAATGGAATAGGCCTAAGAGGCTCACAGAAGTCACATTAGATGTTGTGGCTCAAATTTGAAGTTATTATCTAAGGAAAATAAACAAATGCATTACAAATGCACACATTTGATGAAGATGCTTGTGCAGCTCTTTCTCTTGAAGGACTGGCTGAAGAATCGGAGATTGTTCCATCTCCTTAGCGTTGCCACATTTACACTCCTCTGCCTGACTGTGAAGGCCTCTCGCCCTACTGCCTGCTGCCCTTACTTCCTTATCTTCACTCACCACTACCCACTTCACCACCAATTCTTGTCAAGTATGTGTGAGTGCAGAAGGCGAAAGGAAGTATTACCTGGCAATCCTTCTGTGTAACAATGCTTTGTTAAATTGAAAAGGCTAGTCCTTTCTGCTGGATAAGACATCCAAAGATAGGAGGAACCCTGGCAGATAGACAAGGCTGCCCAAGGAATCCTGGAAGAGCCGGGGCAATGATTGAACACAGAATGCAAACTTTTTCGATCTGAAAAGTGAATGGTATAAGAGGGTGGCTTATCAGGCAGACAGGGGAAACCAGAGAGGGCTCCATGGAGTTTTAAAAGAAGATGCTGCAGTAATCTATTAACTCAGTATTCCCAGAAGCATAGTGAGATTTAAATAAGGATCGGTGGTGAATGCAGCTGTGCTTGACCAAATTTTGAAAATGCTAGCTCAAACTATGTTTCTTTCTCAAAGATTGTTCAGTCATTAATTTGTGGCTATGGGCTGTGACCCTTTCAGGGTGGGAGGAACAACTATAGTACAGTAAGTAGTGTGCTACATTTATGACTTATATTCCATTTATTTTTGAGCATGGAATATTTTTATACCAAACTTTTTTTTAGAATTCACTTTGAAAAGCACTGAATTAAGGAAAGCTGATAAAAATTAGAAGGGTCTTGAATAATTGTACTTATCAAAAGCAAAACAAGATTCTTGGGAGACTAGATCAGATTGATCCTTATAATGATAATAAGGTAGACTATTTCTTACCAACTGACCAAATGGTGAGGGGCTAATGTGAAGATAAATTAGTTTGGAACAGGCAAAATAACCAGGCAAATTTCATAGGAACTTTCTGAAGAGTCAAAAATGGCAACTGTAAGTTAGAGCAGGTGATATGGAGGCAAGAGGAAGACCAAGGGTGTTTATTCATGGATGCTTTCATTGTATGACTCAGGAGTTGGTCTACAAAATGAAAGCCCCTGGTTCCCTACATAATGTGCTAGCATGGCTTCTTAGCATAGCAGTTTTTAAAATGCAATGAACACTAAACTAGGAATCATGGGAACTAGATTGTTAGTCCAAGAATCGACTACAGCTGACTTGCACCGCTCAGCCCAATTCAATTGCATGCATCATGTCCTAGTTCCACACTGAAGAAGTCAGGTTGGTGGCCATGTAGACTCGTTTATACTGCAGAAACTAACACGTCACAAAGCAGAACTTTCTCCACCCCTCCCCGACCCAAACACAGAACTACATATGAAACGTTTATTGGCCATGACTTAGGTTTGTGCCATTTAGCTGATCTGTAAAATTAAACAAGGCACACTGATAAATCCCACCCATTTACATTGTGAAGACTATCAATGAAAGAAGTAATGATACATACGTGATAAAGTTCGTATTGCAGTAGTAGTACTTGCTGAGAAAAAAATAAAGGCAAGCAGTCATTATAAATCTGCTACTTTTTAAACATGTTTATATATTGTTAATCACAAAAGCACCAAAAGGTTTGACAAATATTAAGCAGTAGGTAGGCAAGTGATACCTTATTTATTTGATAAGAAAAAAGAAAATATTTAAAATAACTAAAATAATTCTGCATCTCACAGCCCACAGTTTGGAAATTAAAAGACTTCTTTGTGATTCTCAAAAATAGAACCACTGGGGAGGCTTTTAAAATTCGCTTCCCAGTCTCTTTCCCGGGACAACCTAATATAAACCTGAAAAAGGCTGATTAAGCCAAGCTCCCAAACTAGTCATCTTTATTTACTTCATTCGCTTGTTTCTACTTCAGGAAGCTGTCCTCTGTAATCTTACATATATTTGTTAGAAAAATATTCCTTCTAGTTAGGGTGACCTATCATCTACATCATGTACTGTGAGACTAAAAGAAAGTGTAACCAGGTAATCACCACATTACAGTGGATCCTCATGCTGAGACCAGCCTGACATAGAACAACTTAGGTTAATTAGGTTAATGGAAGATTCATCGGTTATCTTTAGCACGTACCCAGGTAAACATCCAGATCTCAGCTGTATTGACTCAGCTACAACCAGCCCTCAGAAACCAATCGAGTTCGTAAGTCAAGGGTCCACTGTACCCTGAAACACTTAAAAACTGGGATTATCTCAAGCAAATTGCAATGTATACTGTATTAGCTTCCCACCATTGTGACAAAACATCTGATATAATCAACTGACAATGAGGAAGGATTTACTTTCGTTCTGGCTTCAAAGGTCTCAGTCTGCAGTCAGTTGTCCTGTAGCTTTCCGGTCAGTGTTGAGGCAGCAAATACATCACAGTACTACTGCATCACAAAAGAACTGTGCATCTCCTCCTGGCAGCCAGGAAGCAAAGAGAAACAAGAAAGGGCTGACAGAGTCCCTGTATACTTGTCGAGGACACACCCACAGCGACCTTACTTCCCTGCTTAAAGCTTCGAGCTCTCTTAAGAGCACCACAGGCTGGGATCCAAACCTTTAATACGTGAGCCCTTGGGTGGAACTTCAGATCCAAACTATGTATAGCATACAGCAGGTGCGGTGATGGTGAAACTTTTAGAGGCGTGTGCCCAAACTGCAACCCAACACTCACTTATCACAAAGTGCCAACGCTGTGATTAAAGTGAAATACTGAGGATTTAGTTTAGAAAAAACAGCTCATACATTAACATCTTTTGTCTTAAAAGAATACCAACATGCGTGCCATAGGCTCACCACCACTGGCGTATGGCAACTTTATTTGTGGCAAATTCATCCAACCCATTCCCAGGAACCCTCATCCGCATATCCTCATTTCCTTCTGAGGCCAAAGCCATCAATCTAATGTCATTTGATGTATCTTTGTAGATTAGATGAAAGATATTCTGACATCCTTCCTGCTTCTTTAACAGCATACCGCCCAGAGTCATAATTTGTACAATAGACTCAAATGTGGTTGATGGCCCTGGACTCCACCTGCTCACTTCTACATGGGGAACCTTCAGCAGCGTTTTAGGAATTGATAGCTTGAAAACTCTGCCAACTGACTGGATGAGCGACACTAGATGACCTTTTCAACACAAAATGAAGTATTAAAATTCTTAGATGCTCTGTGCTTTAGGTGCAGGAATAATATGGCAAGGAAATGAATAATATTCAATAGGCTTGCAATTAGCATTGTTAGCTTTTCCTCAAAGTATACTAAATGCACATAAAAATTTTGTATTGTAAAATATCAAAAAATCCCACATGACTTCCAAGAAATTAAAGGAAATGTTAGCACTGTATTTGAAACTGCCTGTTTTTTTTTTCATTTCACATCCCCTTTCACCAATCTCCTTCCCCAAAAGTAATCACTACTTAGAATTATTGTGTATCATTCCCTTCAAAACTGAGCAGGAAGTGCCAGAGATTTAGCTCAGTGGTTCTGCCGCCTGCCTTGCAAGCGCAAAGACCCGAGCTTGATCCCCAGTACCAAAAAAAAAAAAAAAACCTGAGCAGGATACTTTTAGGCGAGACCAAGAAACTGAGGATGAAGACTCCACTAACAATGAAAATAACAGCCTTCTCTCTTGTATGATCCACAGCTGGATGACAAGTCCTTGAGTCTATTTTCCTAGAATTGTTTGAATTAGTAGATAAAACTCCAGACTTGGCAGTTCCCATGCTAATTTGATGTGACTAATACAGCAAACCCTTGACTTACAAACTCAATCAGTTCCCGAGGGTGGGTCGTAGCTCAGGATGGTTGTAAGTCAATACAGCTGTGATCTGGATATTCAACTGGGTACATGCTACAGACAACAAGAGGCAGATGAATTTTTCATTAATCTAATTAACCCAAGTTGTGTGTATGTCAGGGTGTTTGTAGCTTGAGGGTCCACTGTACAAAAATGCCAATCTTATACAGTTGTATGTGATGTTTAGGGTTAAGAATAAAGGAACAAGTGATCAGGGCACATAAGATCTTCACAAAGCACTACCATAGTGTTTTATGTCCAGCGATTTACCAAGGCAGTGTTTTCAAAGGATAAATGAGAAAGCTAACCGAAAGCAGGCATTAACAAGAAACTGTATTGGTGGGGGAGGGATTCGTAGTCTGGTCCCTTCAGTCAGTCAGAATGAATTTTTTGAGATTCTGTGTTTTGTCTTCCAAAACCTCTTACCTACATGTTGTTTAAACTTCACTTGAGAAGACAAACATGAAGAATAATTATTTTATGAACAAGGTGGTATTGTATTGAACATCATTATATCTGAGATCTAAATTGTGCACCACAGGCAACTGGATAACAGCATATTGCCATGTGACAAGACTAACTGGGAGGTATGGCTCTAATAAGTATGAGGTATTTGAAAAGAGCAGGATCTGCTTGGCTGGCATGAGAGAAGTCTTAGGAGCAAGTTCAATGTAGTCTGTTTTCAAGGTCAGGATATGAGGAAATGGAAAGCAAATGCATTTTTATATTAGTAAGGAAAACAACAGCATTCATTGGTTGCCAAGCATTGTGCAAAGCACTTTATATTGTTTCACAAAAATCTTCCAACAGGTTTGGAAGTGTTATTAGGCTCACTTTACACAAGAAGAAAATGAGGCTCCAAAACATGAAGTTTCTTTCTTTGAGGCCACACAACTGTATAGAAGCAGTCAGTATTCAAACCCAGGATGCTGGAGTGAACAGTCAGCAGGATGCTAGACTCCCTGGGTAGAGGAGCACCATGAGAGGAAATGCAGACTTGAGGAGAACACAGTTAGCAAGGATTGGCCATACTGAAAGATTAACAGGGTGTGCATGTTTGGTCAAGTTATTTTTCTGCTGAAAACCTTAAGTACCTGCTCAATCTCCTGTACTTTACACACACACACACACACACACACACACACACACACATGCTCAAGATTGCTTGTTAAGTTTAATTGGTAAAGGGGTTAGCATGAAAAGTAATAATATAATTGGGGCACTTTGCCTATTATATCTTTCAGTTTGGCTAATATTTTGAAGTTTAACAGGGCATGACGAGGTTTACAAGGAAACATATTTTAAGTACTTGGATACAAGATGGGAAACTAAAATCTAATGCATGAGTGAATGTGTGAATAGATTCCAAGAGGTTTGAAGTCCTCTTTTATTCATTCATTCATTCATTCCTAATTGGCCACTTTCATTAGCTCCCATGCTTGGGGTGTGGGCCCTCCACAGGGGCAACACAGAAACACACAGGCTTCCACTCTGCTTGGTAACAACATGGAATTCAGCTGGACACCAGCAGCATGCATTTATCAAGCTCACACTGAGTGCTGGACCCCTAACAGATGACAGGTAGGTATTCGCGTCCTCAAGTTCCTCCCAGGGCAGATACACCAGTAAACAACTAATTACAAGACAATACAGTGACTTATTAACTAAATGAAAGTTATAAACAAAAATAAATACCTCTACCAAAAGAGGATATGAAATCCTGACCCATTCTATATCTATTGAGTTCACTTAAAACAAGTGTAACAGTTTTCTATTTTGGTTAATTAAAAAGTTCATCTGCCTTTACACCAAGGACCAGATCAGATTCCCTTCTGAAGAAATATAAAGCTTCTCCCCCTTAGCAATGGAGAAATCATGGTATCTTTTTCTATAGGCAAGAAGAAAATAATCCAAGAGTTACAGATCACCAAGAATAGTATTTAGCTTTGCAGAGCAGGCCAGGTAGTGCTTACTAAAGGTTAATGTTTTTTTATATACCATCAAAAGGTGTAGGGAAAGTGGGAAGGGTAGGGGAAAGGGATTAAGGGAAAAGAAAAAAATAGGAGAAAATGAAAAAATGGAAATAAAGTGTTTGTAAATGGGGAGGGGAGGAGGGGGTGAAGGGAGGGCAGGGACAAGGGGAAAAAATGAGAACCAAGACCTGTCATGTAAAGGTACAAGATCCCAGTAATGAATGTAACTGCATTGTATACCTAGAATGTACCAATAAACTCAATAAAAAGAAAAAAAGAGAGAAATCATTCATTTATTCATGAATAGGTTAAAGCCCTAACTTTGTAACAGTAAGAGAATGGGTATGAACATTCAAGTAATAGAGTCCCATCAGTTTGATAGGTTTAAACCTTAAAAATGAATTTTAAATTCATTTTTAAATTTAGAAAGCTCAGTAGCATATATTCAGAAAAAAAAAAATGTTGACCAAAACTCAGTGTTTATACAGATAAAGTACTACCACAGCAAGGACAATTTTTCCACTAAAATTTTAGGAAGAAGAACATGATCTCAGAATTTCACTTGTTGAAATTATGCCTATGACTTACTTCTCCTGAGCCTAAATTTTCTCAATTATAAAATATGAGAGTTGGGCTAAAGTCTCCATCTTTAGCCTTGCAATTTAGCAAGGCTAAAGACATACTGGTTTAGAATTTTAAACATAGAAATTTAGAATTATAGTCTAGGAATGGCAAGTATTTTGGCCTTGAAAAACACTTTCAGTGGATTGGTATTCATGACCCCTCTGGAGAATGAAGAAAGACACTAACTCGCCAAAGAGGCTCAGATGGAAAGAGCCAGGAACTTCCCCAGTGTCTGCATGGGGAAACTGAAAGGTGGGCGCACAAGCTATGTATGTTGTCCTTGAATCCTCACATTTCTTTAAAACCAGAGGACATGGGTCCGGAATGTGATGATGCAAAGCAAATAAGTAGGCAACACAAATTGTAAGTTGAATTTGTATTAGCACTTACTTGTATCCATTTTATAATGACAATCATCGTGTCATCTTACTTTTTCTTTCCAAAAGAAATTAAAATAACTTAAAATTGCATATAATAAAGTGAGCTCAACGAACTAAAACAGAAACAAAAGGAAATTTATTGCTCTATGTCCTCATACTCAACATTGTTCACACTTTATGTGGACACACAGTATCATCCATACTCGCTTTGCCCACAGCATACTGAACTCAAATAGCAGTCAGATTATATTATTAGTCCTCTTCTCAGTTATTCCCCACAGTGATTCATTGCCTTCCCTCGGCTCCTCTTCTAAACTTGCATTCTAATTGTGCTGCACTTCCTCTCACACAGCATGTAGGCACCTTTTGGGGAGTACGTGACCACTGTAAATGTCATCCACACTATGTAGGAGCTGCTTTATCTTCTGCCCCTAGAAGGTATGTGACCTCACGCTTCTGGCAGTAATTCATAAGACTAACATTTCATGGGGCAAGAAGATTCTCTCTTCTGCCCCTCAAGTAAAGATTCTGGGAATTGCCATATTCTACTACATGGAACGAAAGGCAGAGAGAGTGAGTCCGCAG